TATAGAAAATCATAGAAATACAATATAACTTTATGGAGATGATCATGGACAACATATGTTGTATAACAAATCATATAAATTTAAAAACCATTAAAAAAGTATATCTTGCATTATGGCTCCAAGAACCCAAATAAAAAGGACAAAAACTAATAAAAAACATGCAAAATATTTGTTCCTAGCAGTGCAGAAAATACTAAATGGTGTTAATGCACTATGTTGTGTTGAAAGCATAATGACGGAGTTACCAATGTCACAACAAATTAAAATTATATATAATTGGTAGATTCATTTATTGCACCCCTACTCAACATAATCAATATATATATATATATATCTCATTCCCCTCTCCAACAAAATCAACATCGAATATGATATTGTAAATAGCTTATTCTAAGACATTCTAACCCGTATTAAAGTTTTTGGAATGATTTAGAGAAAATATATGAATTTATCTGATATTATTAAAGACACGCCTATTAAGGAGTTGTATGATATCAATTCAAGTGAGAATAAGCCAGAAATAGCTGGAAGTATTTTTCCTGAAATATTGGTCCTTGCTAAACGTAAAATCTTTAAATGTTGAAGCCGTCCAATCTTAAGTGGAATAGATCCATGGATAGAATTCTAATTCGAATCAAAGGTCTCTAATTTTGACATATTTGATACCAATAGCAACTAATGATGACATAACCACAAGAAAAGTCATGGTTTTCTAAACATATTGGGCCATCCAATTCCACTTGTTATATTAGGAATTGGCTCTTGGTTCAGTCCTCTACAACCTTCGAAACCAAACACTCAAAGACAGGAATATCTGAAAGAGTTTTAGGGCCTAAGGAAAAATTATTTTAGAGGTCTAATGTATAGTTATTTTACCACTTCAAATTGTATAAAAATTAAAATAAACACAAATAAAGTGTAAAAGAGGAACAAACACACCTAATATATATGGCCATCTATGATTAGATTTCTTTATTCTTTTAATAGAAGTGCACAACTCCTATGAACAAATAAAAGGATTTGTGGATTTCAAAATAACAAATGGAAAATCAAGTTATCAATCAAGCCGTGCCCATGGAAACGGCTATACAAGAGCTATGTATATTTTTTAATAAGAAAGTAATGGTAGAGCAAGAAATGATTTGGTTGAGAGAAAAGAAGAGATGAAATGACAAAGTGGTTGTGGTAGAGTATACCTGGCCATGAATTTTTAGTGAAAAGAGATATAATTAACATTAATGCTTAGTAAAAAAACTAATTATTGGTTATCTAAGATAAAAGTAAGCAATAAGTTCTTAGTAAAAAAAATTCATTATTGCTTGATAAGAAAAAGAATGACCGATTATATAGGATATAAGTGAACATTTTTTAGGCCCAAGACCACAGTCATAACGGGCTAGTGTTACACATGGCCCTGCTGATAGAACCAATGAAATGCCGGGAAAGTGATAATATTGCAAATGAATTCTTATATGATAGATGATGTGGTTAACTATTAAGAATTACTAAAAAAAAAATCAATAACCAAATTTCAAAGTCTCTTTCTCCTTCTTGCACCTTTGCCCAGCACTTTAAATATAAATAAATAAAATTTGGCACTGTGTATAGCATTATATGTTTACCTCTATTTTTAGCTCTTAAAACAGAGATAAATAGAATCATAATTCATTATTTTCTTTAGGGACTGATTCTTTGAAATTGGTAAAACTATAGTGATAAAGTTTTATATTTTTTCAATTTTTTACTTCTTATTTATAATCTAAGAGAAACAACTGAAGTGGAGACTTTATATTTTAATATTGATGTACTCCATATTAATATTATCACTCAAATGAATATGTTTCAAATCTAATATTACATATAATTAATGATATTTTGACTAGAAAGCTATTAGCATTTAAGTTTATAATTATTAAGTTTCAATACACAAAACAACACAAAGGAAACAAAAAATTGACGATACAAAATTACAATTTACTAATAGTATACCTTGTAAATTATTGTGGCCAAGATCAAATTTTCAAAGAAAAATCAAATTTCCAATGCATCTTAATTAGTATATATCCTTGAAAAGTAACAGTAATCTAGGAATTATCAAACATTAATTTTCTTAGGGAAGTTAATTTGAATAAATTGTGCTAACTTTGATAATTCGAATACCCATATAGGAGAACATGGAATTGAAAATGCAAATCTTCACAAAATCAATAACAATATTGTATGCACATCTCTATTTTTAACAAAAAAATAGAGGTAAACAAAGTAATATTTCTAAACAATATCAAACAAATATAGTTGATGGAGGGACCACGTGACCAATAATAACATACAAAAATAACACAAAATTGATGAAAAGTTATACATTATGATTTTTTTTTTGCCAAAGTTATACATTATGATTGGTTGAAAGCATATCTTCTAACATATTATCATCAAGATATAATTCCTGAAGCATAGTCAAGTTTCCAATGCTTCTTGGTATTTGGCCAGACAATTTGTTAATTTCTAGGTATATAATTTTTCACGTTTCTGAGATCACCAATTGTTTCGGGAATATCCTTACATTTTGATAATGAGAAAACCACATTATTATGAGTTATCGTGCACAAAATGATTATGATAAAAAAGAAAAATAAGTGACAATAATAATTTTATGAATACATTCTTTTAAGGTTATTTTAATCAAAATATTATCACTCCTCACTTTGTATTAAAAAAAAAGGGAAAAATGACAAAGCTCTTGAACCAAACAAATTATTTTATGTGTAGCCGCTAATTTGAGCTCTTTTTTAATTAATTTTCAACCAAATATTATTGGACCAAAAATTTCATTAGCATAAATAGATAAATTTTGGAACTGTACTTTTTTTTTTTGCATGCTGGAACTGTACTTATTTATTATGGTGCATAAATGATTGGATAAAATAAACAAAGTGCATCATTATGTCATGTGTTGCAAGCGTTGTTTTGTGCAAAGGCACGGGAGAGTGAGATGGTTGGGAATGGAATTAATGGTTTGGGTGAAGGGTATACTAGTAAGTTTAAATTGCCATGATTCACCTTTGAGAATCTTTGATAAATTACTTTCAACAAAGTTAAAAAAATGAAACTAAAGTGTATATTTTGAAAAGTATGGGTTGGCTTCATTAATATTAAGAAAATTAAAGATAAATGAATATATTTTATTCTTCTCTCTGGTGCCAGTATGAACCTCCAACTTTTTAGTTAGATATACAGAATGCAGTACACTAACCAAAAAGCCAAAGCCGTGTTGCTGAATGTATTTTACTCTAAAAATAAATCATAAATAATATGAAAAGTTTTTAACAATATATATCAAAACTCACAAAACATATATGAACAAATTTAGAATTGCTAACAATAACTATAATATAAAAAACAGATGAAAATAGTGTACTTCCTATATAATATTATACAAAAATATGAATAAAATATTAACTTTGTTGAATTTGTGTCTTTACCATTCCTAAATCATTTAAATGTTAATTTTTTATATGCTTTACGTAGTTTTTTTTTTATTCACAGATATCTTCCTATTGAAGGCAATCATATTTGATATATGGTCGAGCTCTTTACATAGTTTTTTATATTAAAGTACTTTTGTAAAGTTAATATATTATATTTTTAAATATTGCATTTTCAGTTTTATATTATTATACATCATCAGTTATCTAATAACATTTCTCTGTAATCATAAAATAACTTTTTTCAAAACTGATAATAAAAATTAAAAATGAAAATTCAAATACCATAGGCAATGTATATATCTATATATTAAAAAAAATCTCTCACCCATCTTTGATTCTAACTGCTGTCCTGCTTCAAATGAAGATAGCCTGAAAATGTAGTTACTTTTGAAAATGTTTTTTTTTCCAACCTATCCATAAAATTCTTGCGTGCCAAGAGTTATCAATTGGATATAGTTAGAATAATAAGGACTATTGGGGGATAGATAATAAATTTTAACTCAAGGAACAGGGGAAAAAAACAACCTTGGAAGCCCATAATGAATATTTAATTTTAATTAATTTATACCCATGCGATCATGTTTGATTTACTGCCACACACTAATCAATCTATACAGCCCACAAACCTACACCTTTTTATACAATAGTTAATTATAATATCCAAAGCTGGTTCCTCTTAAACATTAGTCACCATCCAATCAGAAGCTGAAAATTATGTGCCTTACACCTTTTATGCATCTCAGTTAAAATTACAATGATGTTTATAGTCAATAAGAACAAACATAGAATTCACCTAAAAATTTACACTCAATACATGTTTCTCTGTTTCCACTGGCTTTTTATAGAAGTCTTATTTTTATGTTGTGCTTGGATTAACAAGGATTTAGATTTGGATCAAATTTCTCTTTTAGATATAAAAAAATTTATAGATCCAAATCTATTTCTTATTATATTTTCTTTGTAATTTCAAATTTCCTATACATCCTAATCATTTGAAATTCTAGCCACTTCAAACATATCGTTCTTTTCGTGTTTTACTATTGATGTCCCTATGACTCTCATGTCTTTTTTTTTTTTTAATCTCATTTGATTTTTTTTAAACTACCCAAACCAAGGAATTTAAATACATGAATTTTAAATGTGAGATTTGAAATGCAAGATTTTAAATCTAAAATTTAAATTCAAATCCACCAATCCAAACATTATCATAATTCTTTAGTGGAGCTTCCCTTCATTCCTATTATATATCTATTTGCTTTATGTGTGTGTGTGTGTGTGTGTTCTTTTTGAATAATGAACAAAATTGGGCAAATGAAGGTTAAACAAGAGACGGTAATTAAAAGCTTATCCTAAGATGCACTAACACCAACACAAAATTGTTTGAAATGACTTGGAGCAAATATAAATTTATCTGATACTGTGAAAGGCATACCTTTTAAGGAGTTCCATGACAAAGACATCAGCTCAAGTGAGGATAAGCTAGAAATAGTTGGAGGTATATTTCCTGAAAGATTATTCTCTGCTATACGTAAAAATCTTTAAATATTGAAGCCTTCCAATCTCAAGTGGAATAGATCCATGGATGAAATTATTATTCCAATCCAAGGTCTCTAATTTTGACAAATTTGATATGCTTGGAGGAATAACACCCCGAAAACTATTATCTTGAAAGATTAGGTGTTGAAGAGCAAATAAACTTCCAATCCAAGCTGGAATTTTCCCATCAAATTCATTATAGCTAAGGTTGAGAATTTTCAACTTGTGTAACTGCAGCAGCTCCTTCGGTAACTCACCATGAAAGTTGTTATTATGAAGGTCAAGTTCAACAAGGGAGGACATATTCCCCAATTGTGATGGTAAGGTGCCCATGAGACTCATGTGAGCAAGATTCAATACACTTACTCTCTCGCCTTCAGAATCACAAGTAACCCCAACCCAGTTGCAAATGGAGGAAGAGTTAGACCAGTTAGCCAAGTGGTTGAATGGGTCTCTCACAAAAATTTTGAGAGCAAGAAGTGCCAATTCATCATTTTTGGTGAAATCGGTGTGACATAAAGTTGGACAGACCATGAGATAGCAAAGCAGTGAGAACATGGAGAAGGAAAAATGAAACCGAAACCAAAGGTTCGCCATCATGAATTGGTTCAAGGCCTCTAACATTGAAGTGGATAGTCAAGAAGGTCATGCTATATATATATATATATTGATAAGCTAGCACTGGTCTTCGATAATAACTTCAATAATAATAAAAGTGGAATAAATTGTGAATCTAATAAAAGTATTCATATTTATGGCTGGAAAAGAAGTGGACTATTCAAATTCAGTCAATAATTAAATGTAATCTTTTTTAGTAGAGAGTACAATTAAAAGTGAAATACTAAGAGAGATCCTATTCATGAAATGAAAGTAGGTCCATGCAATTAGAGCCAAACAGAAGGGAGCCAATAAATTTTTCTGATTAAAACAAGTGAGTTGCAGGATTAAATAGGAAATTTTATTATAAAATTCACCTATATTTCTCATTCTATAAATTTTCTAAAAAACGGAATAAAAGGAATCAGAAATTAAGGGAGAGAACATAAAGAATAAAATGAATAATAAATTACAGAAATATTTTTATGTAAGATTGGAATTATTCTGCCCCTTTCTCAACGCTAAAGATATTCAAGTTGACTTGATTTAAAGCGTTGGTATAGAAAAATAAGAGGAAATTCCTTTCCTAGGGCTACATCAATGATATGGAAAATCTCTAGGAAATTTCATCAATTATAGAACCTCAATATATTTTGATATAATAAAGAAAAATGACAAAATAATATATCTATATACGCATTATCTATTAAAAATCTAATTATTTTGGTGCAATATTAAATGAATTAAGTTAACTTTATCAAATTGTTGCCAACCAAACACAATGCCATTTCTTATTCTTACCTCCAAGAAATTTCTTTATTCCAAACACGAAATTAAAACATACATAAATTATAATTCTTTACACATTAATTTTCTCTTGACAGGGTCCAGAAAGAAAGCACTAGTTTCGTTGGCAAAAAAGAAAAGAAAGGATTTGTTTCATTTCACCTCTACCAAGAATTTATTGATGGATTTATTGTCATGTAATGTGTCTCTAATGAAGGCCATGTCCCATGTGCGTATGAAGGACGCTGGCAAGAGATGTCTTCTCTGCAAAGATGTGATGACAAATCACTATCACAGCTTATTGCATATACTGGCTCCACATACATGGATATTTAGAATTACCTAATTGCCCCTGGAAATGTTTTTCTTTTGTGGGAAAATATGTAGTTTCATTAGCAAAAATTATATAGATGATAAAAAATAAATATAAGAATGTCCATTCATAAATCCTTTGTCTCTTCTACTATATCAATAAATTGTGAAAAGACGTGGCAACAACTAGATACACAAAATTTCAACAATAATGGTTATTTGTTATTATTATTATCATCAATAATAATCATTATTATTTTAAAGTACAAATAAGCTTCACATGTAGATTTCTCCCAACTAAATTACTGTATTTATAATTGACTCTAGATGAGAGCTCTTACCATTTATACTAACTTTATTTGGTATTAATATTATTGATAAAATAGAAAAATTGAGGTCAACAAGACTGATCCAACTAAATAGTGATTTGAAGTAGAGTTTGTTAAAAAGTAATCTATAAGTATTTATAGTTATATTTGTGAGCATTGCTTGAACCATAAAACATGCCCTAAAATGGGAGAACTTCAATAATCCAATTTACTTAAATTTTTGTTTAAAAAATGGTAATATAAATGCATCAGTAATCATTTTCATTTTATTTTTTATAAACTGGTATATGTGAAATAATATTTATTTTTCTCCAATAATGAAAAAATATAATCACAAACATAAGTTCTTAAAACTATACTACACTTATCTTATTTATGTGTATAAAAAGTGATTTTGATTATAAGGTAACGAAAAAAAAGATGAAATAATCTTCTAATTTTACACGTTAACTGAAAAATCATTTGATGACTCGTTATCTTCCTCTAATTATTAACTATTGTGCCACTCTATTTACGTCATGGATATATAAGAGGACTATGAGCATATGATATGGAAAGTGATGAGATTCTTTTTTAAAAAAGATGGGGAAATTTTTCTCTGCTTCAAAACAAACAATCTCCTTGATTGTGCCATTTTTTCGTGAATAAGTATTTGAGTTCTCACTAGATTAATAAAAACATGGACATGAGTAGAAAAATAAACTGTCACCATTCATGACTTATTTTTCTTTCCATAACTGCAATAATGAGGGGAGAAAAGACAAGACCTCATATCAATATGCATGCATCGAAGTGAATTTCAAATAAAATGACAGAAAATTTATTTTGAATAAAGATATTTTTTCCTCACAATTATTTGCATAAAGTGTTTAGTGTTTTAAATTTTTTGTAATGAAATTTCTTCTTTTAACATCTGAAAACATTTTAATGTTGTACATACTATTAACAAACATAATATACTGGTTACACTCCCTCCATTTTTGTATATTGATCCTGAAAGTGTCACTACAAAAAAAATAAGGGAAAATATCAATCAAGGACAACTGAAAAAAATTTATATCAATTAAGGATTACTTATTGTCAAAATCAAAATAGATACTTATTGATTCAAGTTAGTCTTTAGAAATAAGTATCTATTCGAATTTTAATAACAACCTATTTTAAATTAACAATAGTCCATTCAAACTTTTTTTTTTCATTTGAGTTTTAACAATAACTAGTCTTTGACTGATGTCAACTTTTCACAACTAATTAGTATTCTTGTCGTGAGCTTGACAATATTGGCAATATTGGCTTATTTATCAACTTGTTAAAGAAGTTACAAAGACCACATGTTATTTGCCCACACTTCCTGTATACCAAGGACTTATGAGTTGACTTGATTTGAAAATACAGCACTCATTAATTATAAAAATCAAATTTATTATACGGATTCATGGTAAAAAAATGTCTTATAAGAATTGTTAGTTAATAATGAGTGGCACTATCATATCCTAACAAAAAAAAAATTATATCATTATGTTTTTTTTTCCCACAATATAGAGTTGTCATGGCTAGGAGAATTATGTTGAAAACATGAATTGTCACCACTCATCACTTCTTTTAGTCTTTGGCCATATTAATTGGTTGTGTAAAAAACAAAAAAAAAACAAAAACACTCAATCCATAGAACTTCAATATCATCAATGAAACAATTAAAATAAATGTACAGAAATTGTTCTTATTCCATTCACACACACATATATCATTATGCCATTTTTTTATGCTTTGAATTGATATAAATCATACTGATAGAAATAACCATCATTTATAATTTATATTTTTTTAATAATATGATTTAACAATTACTTAGTAGATGGGTGGATGCATGTTTTCTATTAAATTTTTGTAATTAAAACAAAATAGATAAGAGGTCATTCATTTGTGTATTTTAAAGATGAATTTAAATAGATTACAAAAAAAAAAGATGAATTTAAATATAATAGCAAATCGGACTTATAATATAGTGGTCTCTACTTATGAATGTTCATCCATATGCTGTTGAGAAGTTTTTTATTGACTTGCATTGCTGTTGCCATATTTTATTAATGATTTAGAGTTATTTTTGATGGGAATATATGAACTATTCATCAGATTCTAGCAAGGGATTCATTTTCTTTTCCTTGGCTAGGGAAAAATCATCCCTTTTTGCAATTTTGAAATGATGACAACAACATAAAAAAGAACATGAATGAGAATCATTTTAAAATCAATTTTAAGTATTTTTATAAACCTTTATTTTACACAAATTACAAAATTGGATGTTAAAAATAAATTCGTTATGAATTAATGCGCATACTATTCAGATTCCTGAAAAATCCATAATGTTGCCAGTTAAAAGATTATGGATATATAACTAATTTCCTCTTTGATTGCAACGTCAATGAAACCCTAAAATGACATACGAGCATCTAATTCACATAATTTCAATATTTCGATAATATTAATTGACTTTGGAGCATTGAAATTACTATAACATTACATTAGGAGCAAACAAATTATAGATGAGCAATTATTTATTTATTTTTGTTAGTTTGCATGTGAAATAAAATTATTTTCTTCTCCATTGTTAGTGTCAATTCAAACCCATGACAAGTGGGAGAGCTATTATCTTAAAAAAACCATGACACTTAAACATGTAAATGTGCCACTTCCTCTATGCCAAGGAACATGAGTTTACATGACTTGGAAATACAACACTCTTTACCTATAGAATAAAATTTTTTATAAGAATTCTTAGAGGCTACTGTGTCATTGTCAGATTCTATCCAAAAAAAAAAAATCTACAGCATTGTGTAATGTTTTTCAAAATATAGGTATATGAATTGTCTTGACTAGGAAAATTATTAATAAAATTAAATGAATTGTTACCATTTATGACATCCTTTTCTCTTTGGACATATTAATGAGTTGTGCAGAAAGACAAGAAAACACCCAAATTCTTAGAACCTCTACATTGTCAATGAAGTGGCTAAAATTAATATTCATAAATTATTTTTGTTCTATTGACCTGTCATTATACTATTTTGTTTATGCTAGGGGTAGACCTGTGAAATTAGGCTCCTATGACTTGTTCCTATTAATTCCCTATTTGGTTTAGCACCCCCATCCCACGGTGATCCATTCCTTATGTATTGTACATGTTATATATATAATAACTATATAGTTCTTCTGAACATTATAAAAATATATAATTTACTAGTTTATAAAAATAATTTTGTAAATTAACATTAACTTTAAATCAATAAAAAAACAGTGAAACTTAATATTTATATATACATAAAAGCTTTTTTATTTTAATTAAATTATTCTAAAAAATTATTAATTATTATAAATATTTATCTTTTTCATTAATATAGATTTGTTTAGTTATTTAATTTTCATATAATATTAATTAATATTATTATAAGCATGCCCGATATTTTTTTTAAATTTTCATAATATATATTGATTTAATTTTTTCACAAATGTTAAATATTTATTATCCCCCCAAATCATGAATATTCTAGTGGTTCAAAATTTTACATAATTTAT